CCTCGAGCGCCTCTTGTCCGTTATTGTGACGCATGAAGCGTGTTCCCGCCCACTCCCGCCCTCCTTGCTTCTCTCTCTCTCTCTGTGGCGCTCTCCGCCGCTTCCTGCTGGGCATGCGCAGCTCGCCTCACGCTTCCATTCCGGCCCCTCCTTCCCCCGACTACCCCGCCGCTCCGTTCCTTTCTCTTTCTCGCGTGTCAGAGAGCGGCGGCGCGAGCGCGGCGGTTCCCTCAGGGCTGACGGAGGGCTCGAGGAGGAGGAGGCAGGACGTGGAGGCGAAGAAAGCGGCGGCGGCCACCCCCCCACCTACGGCTCGAGGCCCGCGTAGAAAGCTGAGGGGGAGAGATAGATAGAGGTGGGCGGCGGCGGTGGCAGCGGCGACCACGACCAACCGCCACAGTAGTTGTAGCGGTGGCGACGGCGAGCAGGGACTCCCACTCTCTCTCCGTCGTGTCTCTCTCTCTCTCTCTCTCCCGGGCCCGTCCGTTGAGTCTCCCGCGCGCCTCGGCTACAAGATGAGCATCGAGATCCCGCCGGGTCTGACTGAGCTGCTGCAGGGCTACACGGTGGAGGTGCTGCGGCACCGGCCGCCGGACCTGCTGGCCTTCGCCGCCGAGTACTTCGCCAAGCCGCGCTCTCCTTCCTGCCTCGCTTTGCTGCCTCCTCCCCCCCACCCCCAAAGCTTGGAGGTTCCCCGGCGCCGACCCGCAGGTTTGACCCCCTTCTCACACCTGTTCGCGCTCCTTGCATGGAATGGGGCGGATGGGGAGGAACGGGGCTCGCCGCTGCCTCCGCTCGCCCTCCCCCCCTCCGCCGGCGGTCCCGCGATTCTTGGCTTTTTGGCGGTTGGCACAGAAGGAAGGCAAGGGGGAGGGAAAAAATTGAATCTTACACTTTCGTGCGTCCCTCCCGGCGTGACGCTGCGCGCTGACGTCACGGGGCTGTAATGGTGGTGTGCCTCGAGATTTTTTTCATGAAACAAGTGTGCCTTTGCCCAAAGAAGGTTGGGAAACACTGCCTTAACATAACACATCTCTCAGTTGTGTTGAAAGAGAGGAGGATGAATTGCAGCAGCGATGGGCTGGCAAGATTTTCCTTTGAGTTTCTTTCCAGTCTCAGTCATACAAGATGTTTACAGGGGAGTTTTAACAGAAAGCAAGTGCAGTGCTTTACTAAGTCACAGATAAAATCTTTTAATAATTGTCAAATATGACTGGCATGAGTGGTTTCTTCATCTATATAATCAAATCTGTGAAATGCTTCTCTCCTGCTGACATTGCAGAGCGACTTCCACCCAGTTAAAAATTAATTGCTGCACAGTAACTCCATCCTGCTAACTCAGACATTTCCTCTCTTCCCCAACCCCCCCTTCCTTTGCTCTAGAATTATCCTTCTGTTTTCATCACAGCCTCTGAAAACGATCAACGCATACCTCTGGCTGGGTTATTAAGATACATCTGTAAACTTAGAAAAGCTGTACAAGCTTTCCATGCCCAAGACAACTGCACAAAAGTGAAAGGTAAAATTAGAAATCTGTGGTTAGCTGAAACATTATATGAGAAATTGTTGCAATGGAAGGACTGTTGCCCCGATCCAACAGTAACATGCATATGTACAAATATTTTTGTCCAAGCTGAATTCTTGCAATCTCTGAGCAAGAGCTATGCAAACACAACCTTAAATAAGAGCTCTGCAGTTGCATCAACCTTTTCTTCAAGGGACGGGGATGTGGGTCTAGATTCAGTGTTCAGCTTCCTTCCCTACCCCTCCATTCCAAACAGATTATTGCTACCACTGGAAGATCCAGTTCGGGTCAGATCAGATTCTTTTCCTGTTCCTTTTTTGCGCTTGCTATTGCTTGCACATACATTGCAAAGCAACTGAAGCGAGAACTACTTTAGGACTTTCGTGCGACCCAGCTCCAGGCTTCAGTTCCTCATGAGTAAACAGAGAAGGGTGATGGCTGGATCTTAAGTCACAGTCATGGTGGTTGAAGGGCTGGGTCTTGAAGGCTGAAATGCTCAGTAGAGATTACATGGACAAACGGGAGTTTCTGCTGTGTGGATGTCTACCATCATCGGATGGGCAAGATGATGAGGACACACTTTTTACGGAGAAGCAGATTAAATCAGACCAGCACACCTTTTGACCAGAAGCGTGATAAATCTCCCAAGTCCTTGTTGAATGTACATATGGGGAGTGGTAATGTTGGTGAGAGGACAGAAGTGCCTGGCGTGCTCTGGTCCATGGGGTCATGAAGAGTCGGACACGACTAAACGACTAAACAACAACAACAATGTTGGTGTAAATGCATTCTTTGCCTTAAAGTGCATCACATGGAATGGCTATTATGATAGTTGTCCTGGCAAAACCAGCATCTGGGTCAATTTTTTTTTTTTACGGGATGAATGACCAAAATGAGTTTATATTACGAAAGTGCTTTGGAGCGAACAGGTACAGGATACCTTCAAAATATTCCATCCCCATCAGTCATTAAGCATAACGGGTTGTGACAAAATACTGAATTTACTTTCATCACCAGCAGAGTATATACTTGTTTCTACAAGAAAAACACAGCTTCTCCCCCACTCTTGTCTCATCCTTTCTTGGCCTTTTCTGCTTTTTTCAGGACTTCAGATGCCTAATATTCTCTTAGATGTTCAGCCAGGAGGCAGTCATTGTGCTCCATCTTGGGATGATTCTTTAAATCAGGTATCCTCACTGTGCACTTTTTTGCAATCAACAAGAGAAACAGCACAGATCAGTGTTATACACTGTGGAGATAATTGCTCTCATGTTGTGAGATAAAAACCGAACCTTCAAGGGTCGTGAACGTTTGAGGAATAATATGTATGCATGCACAGTGTTTGTGATTCCCAAATAACCATCTCAAATCTGCACACCACCACTTATCTACCTAGTACCATCTCTCCTGTGATATCTACACACAGGGCCAGCCTTACCATTAGACAGAATGAAGCAACTGCTTCAGGTGGCATATGTTGTGGGGACAGCAAGAGCACCCCCAGCAGTTCCTCCTGAGCCTGCCAGCCCTTTGTTGCCATATGGCCTCTCCTGCAGTCCCTAAACTAGCCAGCTACCTTGGGTGCATGGGGGATGCTATCCTATCATCAATGTGGAAGTGAAATTCAGTTGTCGGTCCAGGTGGTAAGGGGACGTCCTGCTGCAATTCATCTCAGGCAGCAAAATATATTCGACTGGCCATGTCTACATGCATCGCCTCTCATTCCTCTCCCTGGTGACTTACTCGGGGAAAAACACCCTGGAGGGGGTTTAGCATGTATCCTGGAAGGTTAAAGGGAAGACTGAGCAAAACAGTTGAAGTGGGTGAAGGTGTTTGGTGGCTGTCCATTTTAAGATGAATGCCCCAAAGTCACCTTGAATGGGCAGAAGGAGCTGTTATGTGAATTGGTCAGTACAAACTGATCTTGAGCCCAGTACCTACAAGCATTTGCTTGTGTATGACATTAACGCTTCTCGTGCTTTATTTAGTGTAGACATATTTTAATTGTTCTGCTTTCTGCTTGAGTGTTTCATAAATAATACTTTTCTCCATAATAAATAAGAGGTCCCTTGTTGGAAAAAATAGATTCTGCACCTCTTTTTCCATAAATGGGGACGCCTTCTATTCACGATGCACCAACTTTGGATATCACCCAGCAAGAAAAAAATGCTATATCTATTTAAAAAACAACTAATTGGTCATCATCCAACCAGAGGAATCCTACAGATGGCAGTTATGCCTTTCTTCTTGAGAAGCTCAATTCACGAGCCAGATTGTCTTCACTAGCATCTAGTATCTGTTTTGGGGGACTGGGGTGGGCAGAGGCCTGGATTCAACCATTACCCTTCCACCCCAAAAGCTGACTGGTACTGTTGAAAACAGGCTGACTGCACTGTGCAAGAATTGAGCTTCTTAAATCATATACTGCAAATTCAGCAAGGAAGCACTTTCACTTTCATTCCCCCAACACTGGTAGCAGTACTCATATGGTCTTCTTACTATGTATATCAGGAACATGCTATACATACCCATGTATATGTATGTTTTTGCTAATTATTTATTAATTTAGCTCTTTTGTACCTCTGCAAGCAGTTCTTGGGAGCCTTTTTTTTTTTTTTTTTTGCTGAAAACAATCAGTTAGAACAAAACACGAAGGAATTTCAGCGTACGAAAAAGCAACGTGCACAAAAATAATTCTTTGTTGCTTTCCCCCTGCACAGCTGAATTCAGCTTGTCTACTTAGCATAGAGTGCGTACACATGAGCAGGACACTTTTTTCATCCACTGGCTACAGTGGGAAGAAGCAAAGCAATTTCGAAAGCATTTTTGTGACACCGGCTTCAGACTTGCCGCTGCTGTTCTAGTCACAAGCTGTGCTATACCTGACAGTAATGCTCAATTCACAGGAAGCTTTTCTGATCTCAGTGAAAAGCCCATTACAACAGCTGCCATTTTATAAAGAGAATTGAGCAGGAAGAACTCTGATTACTGTACAGACTCCAGGAGAATCCACATTATTATACCCAATGTTACAGGAGCACGAATTGCACTGGGAGGGAAGCAGCAATAGAGTGGGGAAAGGGAGTTATACTTCTCTGAAATGTGCAAAGTGCTATGAAGTGTCTGCTGGTTTTTTCACAGTGAAATGTTTTTCATTGTTTTAGGCTTCGACACAACTAGCATTTTTGTACAAGGAGCTTGGACTTGACAAACGGCAGTAACTCTGCAAAGCTGGAATTTTTCTCCCAAATCCTAAGGCCAACGGAATAAGAAACAATTTAAACTAATTTTCTATTTAAAACGGGAATGGGAAATTATTTAAAATAATCTATAGGGTTATTTTAGAATTGGCTAAAGTATTCCAGAGTAATTTTTCATGAATTTGTAATTACTGTACATATTTTTTTTTAAAAAACTGAAAACCCTGTATACCTCCAAATGTCTTTTTTTTTTTTTTTACAAAATAAAAAGTATGTTTACTTGAATTAATTTTATCACACCTTCCACAAGGTTGTTCACAATAATTTCTCTCTCTCTTACATCATAGATGTTGGCTTATGTTACAGATGTATGGTGTATTACTATTGCTACAAGTTTGTCGTGGCCTCTGGCTAGAAAAAATAAGCACATGAGCTGAACAATATAAAAGAGCAATTGCAAATCATGGAATACAAAATCATAGAAACCAAAAACAAAACAGTAAAAATAATGACTAAAATATCATAGAGACCAAAAATCAGTAAAGAAGGCAAGCTTACCCCCCTAGGCAAGGTATTCTACAATCTGGAAGTTTCCAGGCTGGTTCAAACAGAATGACACTATTCTTAAGGACATGTAGACTGTAAGCTCATACACCCTTGTGTGGGAATAAGCCTCAGCGGGACTTAATTTGTAAATAGACTAGGATTGCACTGTTAGTGCTTTAAATGTCAAACCTGGCACCATTAATTGAATTCAGAAACAAATGGAACCAATGCAGTTGGTGAAGGACTAGAGTGATATGTTCTGTTTTCCTGTCTCCTGTCAGAAGTTTGGCAAAGTTTCCAGATTGTTTTCAAGGGCCGACCTATGTAGTGCTTGTAACAGAATGGTTCAAACATTACAGATGCATTCCTTTTCAGTATGCTAGAAGATAATCCCAAATTCTGCAATTATCTTTGCTGCCATGAAGGTAGGAGATGAAGTTTAGCCTATGCATGTGGCAGACTCGTAGTTGGAAGAGACCTGGGAACTAATTCTAGTCCAGCCACTGCTCAGTGCATGAAATTATTTCTGATAATTTCTAAAGTGGAGACAGTGATGCCCCAAAATGACCTGCTACAGTTTTTTTGTTTTTACTTTTGCTTTAGTCGTTTTTATTGGCTTTTTAAAGTCTTAAGTATAGAACCTAGGATAGAAAAATAAAAAACCGAGAAACACAATACAACTGTCAAGAAAAGGGAGCATGGATGGTACAATCCAATCCAATACAAGATAAAAAGGTCATTTTGAGAGTTCCAAATCTCAAGGGAGGCCTCCGAGTGTTGCTGCAAGTGGTGCGTATTAATGTATATAATGTAATTTCACCAAATAGCATGAAAAGCATCATGTTTAGCTGTACCCTGTGGCGCTCGAAATTGACAAGTGATCTTTTCAGATATAGCAGTGTTCCAAACATTTTTGTGCCAAAGTGCAAGGTTCCAAATTCTGTAAAGTTTTCCATTTTTGGACAGCTGGCAAACAAGTAACAAGTAATTAAAAACACACGCACATACACACCCAAAAGCTATCTAAACACAGCATTCACATTTGGTCCTTCAAAGCTGCTGTACCTTTTGTAAAGAAATTACAACTCATAGATTTGGAACAAACCATTGCCACTTAGCAATACGCATAGAGTAAGTTGAAGGTGCTTGAATAGCATGCCTTTTCTGCAACAAAACACTTCTCTTTGAAAGCTTCCATCTGGTGGACAGGTTCGCTTGTCCAGTATTCCAAAATGAGTCCTTCTCCCTTTTCAGTTGCGACTGCTTTGGTATTTACTACTTTGCCACTGTTGACAACATTCGTGCTTAGCTTTACAGTAGCTTCGGAGGGAATACCGGGAACTGAACCCTGCAGATTAGTTACGGTCTGCAGTCCAAAATTTAGGACCACCATAAACACTTGATCTAACCCATCCAGTTCCCTCACATATGCAAAGACGTCGCGGTCATTCCAAACGTAACACATCCATCCTCTAAAAATGGGAAGCTCGTTGGCACGAATGGAACTGAGCTCTCGATACAAGCTGAGCGTAGAATTCTGTTGACTCTCTTGCTCCTGTAATGTAATGGTTTCATCCTTTAGTCAATTCTCAGATGCTGAAAGTAAAATCGTTTCTCATTGCATCCCTGCCTGTGACCTCGGCTGCTCCTACTCTACCACCCTCAGTCAGCCAAAAGTCTACTGCCCCCTTCAATGACTTTTCTCCTTGCCACCCCTATGCATGGAACTGCCTCCCTGCCCATGGTGCCACCTCAACTGCTGCCTTCAAATGACACTTGTGCACATTCTTCTCTCTCGGCCTTTGTCAACCTCTCCCTGCTCTGTTGTTTCCCCATTATCTATTGTAGACTGAAACCTCCTTGAGAGCATAAGTTACCTCTCTAAGACACCATGTGCATTCTGGGCCTATGCGCAGCGTTATGCACAAGCCTCAGCTGATTGATCAGAGGGGGGCAATTTTAATTGCTGTGCATGATTTTAACAGTTAAAGTCGCCAGTTATTTTTAGCCATTTTTTTGTCGTCTCAAATGGGCTCTCGAGTTAAACGTACCATCATTCATTTTTTTCAGGCTGTTGAGTGTGTTACTGTAATATGGAAGGGAGGATAAAATATTTTCTTACAGCAATGAGCTTTATTAAATTGTAAGATACTTTACTCTTTCTGATAGGGCAATAAAGCATCTATATTGAGGTATCAGCAATAGGCAAATGTTAGAATAAATCTATTTACAGTGCAATCCTATACATGTCCACCTGGAAGTGAGGCCCTAGTTAGTTCAATGGAGCTTAAGGGTAAAGGGACCCCTGACCATTAGGTCCAGTCGTGACCGACTCTGGGGTTGCGGCGCTCATCTCACTTTATTGGCCGAGGGAGCCGGCGTACAGCTTCCAGGTCATGTGGCCAGCATGACTAAGCCGCTTCTGGCAAACCACAGCAGCACATGGAAACGCCGTTTACCTTCCCACTGGAGCAGTACCTATTTATCTACTTGCACTTTGAGGTGCTTTCAAACTGCTAGGTTGGCAGGAGCAGGGACCGAGCAATGGGAGCTCACCCCGTCACGGGGATTCGAACCGCCGACCTTCTGATCAGCAAGTCCTGGGCTCTGTGGTTTAACCCACAGCGCCACCCGCGTCCCTTCAATGAAGCTTACTCCTAGGTAAATAGATATAGAATTGCTGTACACAAATGCCATCTTAACCTCATAAGTAAGTTCCACTGAATTCAGTGATGCTTGCTTCTAGATAAGTGGAAATCTGGATTGCAGCCTTACTTCCAAACCAGTGTGTTTCAGATTGCAGCCTAAAATGATTTAATTGTCTGCCAGTCCTAGGTAAGTGTAATCCATAAGCACACACTGATTTCCCATACAATTTGTTTCAGGCTTAATAGCTACTCCTTCCCATCAACTCTGAAGGTGGAAAGATGGTCACTGCTCTGGGAATCATTCTGAGTTTTACTTCTAATCATGTGAGGGGGGCTCATTCAAACTGGGGCTGGGTTGTCACACTTACATTTTTAGGTATCTTGATAATACTGGCCCTGCTAAAGAAAATAATTTGTAATTTATTTGAACAAGAGAGAAGAGTGCTTCGGTCATCACACTTACCTTCACGTTTACATTTGGATAGTCAGGATTTACAGGTATCCAGGTTGAGTTGGCTTCACTAAAGCCAGCATTAAGAGTATCATCCCACTGCATGGGTGATTTTTCTGGAAAGGTTGCCTTGAAAAAACCAAGAAGACATTATTCACTGCTAATACGGGGTCACATGCAAGTCAATTGTACACAGGGGGGGGGATGCCTGTACTTCAGGTGTGGTCTGACCAAGGCAGAATAGAATTGTACTATTACTTCACTTGATCTGGATACTATACTTCTGTTGATGCAGCCTAGAATAGCATTAGCTTTTTCTTTTGCTGCTGCATCACACTGATGGTTCATGTTAAGCTGTTGTCTACTAACACTCCTAGATCCTTTTCACATGTACTGCTGGCAAGCCAGGTGTCCCCCAACTTATACTGGTGCAGCTGGTTATTTCTGCCTAAGTACAGAACCTGACATTTGTCCCTCTTTTAAAAAAATTTTTTCCCCTAGTTCTCCAATCTGTTAAGGACATCCTGAATCCCGATTCTGTCTTCGGAGGAATTAGCTACCCCTCCCAGTTTGATGTCATCTGCAAATTCGATGAGCATCTCCTCAATTCATACATCCAAGTCATTTCCAAAGACTCTGAACAACAACTCTGAACAACAGGACAGAACACTGGGGACCCCAGTTGTCATTTTTTTCAAGGATGATGAGGAACCATTAATGAGCACTCTTGGGCTTGATGTTCTTGGATCAGCCCCAAACAGCATCCCCAATGGTTAGGGATGGTGGCAGTCATAGTTTGACAACATCTGGAAGGCCACCCGCCCCGTTTTAGGAGAAACAAGAACAACACAGGCATTGGGGAAGGGGGAATTAACAGCACTGGGAAAGTCAAGACGGCTTGATCATCAACGAAGGGTGAAACAGCAGCAGCAGCAGCATCAGTAGCATGGTTATTGCATGGGGGTGGAATTCAAGAATTTCCAAACTCACGTTTTCTGATGTGGTATCTTCCATTCCAATTTCTTCACCGTAATAGGTTGTAGGTGTTCCAGGAAGAGTTAAAAGAAGCATGTTGATGACATTTATGTATTCCTTCCCAATCCGAGAGGAAATTCGAGCACTGTTGGGGTTTCCAGCCTAACAGGAAAGTATATTGTTTTATCAGACTCCAAAGGCACCATTTCTATAAAAGCCATGTAGATAAAGGATGGGATATCTTTTTCCACCCACAAGCCCCAGTCCCTGATGGGAAACCTGGGGGCTGCAGGCCATTGCTGGGTGACTTTAAAAGGGGAACAGACAAATTCACAGAGGGCAAGGTTATCAATGGCTACTACCCACAATGAAAATATTCCTTTGAATACCAGTTGCTAGGAATCAAAAGTTGAGGAGAATGCTGTTGCACACAAGTTATGCTTGTGGGCTACCCATGGACATCTGACCAGTGTGAGAATAGAACGCTGGACTAGATAGCATATCCTGCGAGTGTCCCGGAAAAACCAGGACATCCCATTTTTTTCTCACGAGAGAATGGCAGACAATTCTAGTTTGCGCGGTTTCCCCCAGGAAAAAAAGTGCTTTTCAGGGCTGCAATCTCATGCGGCACCCCAAAATGTATGTTTTTGGGCACTGTGCCCCCAATACACTTTTTCAGGGGGGAATTATGGTGCAAGATCATGGTGCCCAGAATGGTCGCTGTTCTCTCACAAGAGAAAATGGGAAGATGATGTCCCAGTTTTCGCCTTCAAGGTGTGTGTGTGGGGGGGTACGTATGAGATAGGCCTTTGGCTTGATCCCACAGGACTCTTCTAGTGTTACTGTGTCTGGAGACAAAAAATGAGTGGAACATTGAATGTGTCTTAGCTTTGTATAGTAGGACACATGGCAGCCAGGCAAGAGGAGCAGGAACAGTAAGGGGAGTGGCCTGGGAAGGGGGTGTGGCCTAGAGAGAATCCTGCGACCTGGAAGTCTGCATTTGACCCAGGTCCTGAGGTTTCCCAACCATATCTTGTTATTTGTTGTTGTTGTTGTTTAGTCGTTTAGTCGTGTCCGACTCTTCGTGACCCCATGGACCAGAGCACGCCAGGCACCTCTGTCCTCCACTACTTCCCGCAGTTTGGTCAGACTCATGCTGGTAACCTCGAAAACACTATCCAACCATCTCGTCCTCTGTCGCCCCCTTCTCCTTGTGCCCTCCATCTTTCCCAGCATCAGTGTCTTCTCCAGGGAGTCTTCTCTTCTCATGAGGTGGCCAAAGTACTGGAGCCTCAGCTTCACGATCTGTCCTTCCAGTGAGCACTCAGGGCTGATTTCCTTAAGAATGGATGCGTTTGATCTTCTTGCAGTCCATGGGACTCTCAAGAGTCTTCTCCAGCACCATAATTCAAAAGCATCAATTCTTCGGCGATCAGCCTTCTTTATGGTCCAGCTCTCACTTCCATACATCACTACTGGGAAAACCATGGCTTTAACTATACGGACCTTTGTTGGCAAGGTGACGTCTCTACTTCTCAAGATGCTGTCTAGGCCTGTCATTGCCCTTCTCCCAAGAAGGAGGCGTCTTTTAATTTCGTGGCTGCTGTCACCATCTGCAGTGATCATGGAGCCCAAGAAAGTAAAATCTCTCACTGCCTCCATTTCTTCCCCTTCTATTTGCCAGGAGGTGATGGGACCAGTGGCCATGATCTTCGTTTTTTTGATGTTGAGCTTCAGACCATATTTTGCGCTCTCCTCTTTCACCCTCATTAAAAGGTTCTTTAATTCCTCCTCACTTTCTGCCATCAAGGTTGTGTCATCTGCATATCTGAGGTTGTTGATATTTCTTCCGGCAATCTTAATTCCAGCTTGGGATTCATCCAGCCCAGCCTTTCGCATGATGTATTCTGCATATAAATTAAATAAGCAGGGAGACAAAATACAGCCTTGTCGTACTCCTTTCCCAATTTTGAACCAATCAGTTGTTCCATATCCAGTTCTAACTGTAGCTTCTTGTCCCACATAGAGATTTCTCAGGAGACAGATGAGGTGATCAGGCACTCCCATTTCTTTAAGAACTTGCCATAGTTTGCTGTGGTCGACACAGTCAAAGGCTTTTGCATAGTCAATGAAGCAGAAGTAGATGTCTTTCTGGAACTCTCTAGCTTTCTCCATAATCCAGCGCATGTTTGCAATTTGGTCTCTGGTTCCTCTGCCTCTTCTAAATCCAGCTTGCACTTCTGGGAGTTCTCGATCCACATACTGCTTGAGCCTTCCTTGTAGAATTTTAAGCATAACCTTGCTAGCGTGTGAGATGAGTGCAATTGTGCGATAGTTGGAGCATTCTTTGGCACTGCCCTTCTTTGGGATTGGGATGTAGACTGATCTTCTCCAATCTTCTGGCCACTGCTGAGTTTTCCAAATTTGCTGGCATATTGAGTGTAGCACCTTAACAGCATCATCTTTTAAAATTTTAAATAGTTCAGCTGGAATACCATCACTTCCACTGGCCTTGTTATTTGCAGTGCTTTCTAAGGCCCATTTGACTTCACTCTCCAGGATGTCTGGCTCAAGGTCAGCAACCACACTACCTGGGGTGTACGAGACATCCATATCTTTCTGGTATAATTCTTCTGTGTATTCTTGCCACCTCTTCTTGATGTCTTCTGCTTCTGTTAGGTCCTTACCACTTTTGTCCTTTATTATGGTAATCTTTGTACGAAATGTTCCTTTCATATCTCCAATTTTCTTGAACAGATCTCTGGTTCTTCCCATTCTGTTGTTTTCCTCTATTTGTTTGCATTGCTCGTTTAAGAAGGCCTTCTTGTCTCTCCTTGCTATTCTTTGGAAATCTGCATTCAATTTCCTGTATCTTTCACTATCTCCCTCGCATTTTGCTTGCCTTCTCTCCTCCGCTATTTGTAAGGCCTCGTTGGACAGCCACTTTGCTTTCTTGCATTTCCTTTTCATTGGGATGGTTTTCGTTGCTGCCTGCTGTACAATGTTACGAGCCTCCATCCATAGTTCTTCAGGCACTCTGTCCACCAAATCTAAATCCTTAAACCTGTTCCTTACTTCCACTGTGTACTCATAAGGGATTTGACTTAGATTGTATCTTACCGGCCCAGTGGTTTTTCCTACTTTCTTCAGTTTAAGCTTGAATTTTGCTATAAGAAGCTGATGATCTGAGCCACAGTCAGCTCCAGGTCTTGTTTTTGCTGACTGTATAGAGCTTCTCCATCTTTGGCTGCAGAGAATATAATCAATCTGATTTCGATGCTGCCCATCTGGTGATGTCCATGTGTAGAGTCGTCTCTTGTGTTGTTGGAAAAGCGTGTTTGTGATGACCAGCTTGTTCTCTTGACAGAACTCTATTAGCCTTTGCCCTGCTTCGTTTTGATCTCCAAGGCCAAACTTGCCAGTTGTTCCTTTTATCTCTTGCCTCCCTACTTTAGCATTCCAATCCCCTATAATGAAAAGAACATCCTTCTTTGGTGTCACTTCTATAAGGTGTTGTAAGTCTTCATAGAATTGGTCAATTTCAGTTTCTTCAGCACCAGTAGTTGGTGCATAAACTTGGATTATAGCAGTATGAAATTAATGACTTTGAACTAGTGAAGTCTGCCTTTCCCATGAGCATTATCTTTCTTTTTTAATGTCCTGTACTATGGAGTACTTGGTTAGACTATAGCCCTCCATGGAAATATATTTTATTGTATATATTGAGTGAGTGCTTACATGTTTTTGAATCACAGCACTCAATATTCACAATAAAACTGGTTTAATATTGCTTTCCCCTAAAAGAGATTTTGCTCCAGCAGAGCAGAGGGAATAAATTGTCCCAAGGCCCCTAAATACAAAGCAATGGTGAAGTCTAATTATCAAAGCCAAATAAACCGTGTGCGACAAAATATTAAATTTAAACAGCAGGGTACCTAATTTTTTCTCCAAAGGTACAAAATGGAGCACAAACATACAAACGCAGTGTCATCATTTTGATCATTTGAAAAGTTTTCAGTATCCTGCTGTACTAGGGGAGATTGTCATGTTGATTTAATTTATTGGACCCCAGTCCAGGGAGCCATGGGACTGACGCCTTATTCTCAGAAGGGTTTTGAGGGGGATTTTTGCTAAACCTCACATTCTCACTGTTGTATAACCAAAGCCAATCCAAGACACTTTTCATCCTGAGACAAAGGACAAGATGGCAGCCCCACCCTTTGATATACAGAAGCCAACTGGACTGGCAGCTGACAGCAAAGCATTCTTTACCACACCTGAGGGCCGCAGGGTACCTTGGAGGATGCAGAACAAGCAACATGGGACAGACAGAAATGCCCTCCAACTTATCGCCACTGCTCCCTGCCCCCTCCACACCACTATCTGCCGGCTCAGACAGCTGCCTCACTCTGCCAAATGGTAGGGCCAGCCCAGTGGAAATGGCATACCACCTTTGACATGCGGCGAAGGGGTTAAAAGCAGCCATCTTTAGGAAGCCTGCAGCTCACTGGATGTTCTTAACTATTTCTGCGCCTTACTCTGCCTCACAAAATATTTGTGGACATATAAAGGGATAACCACCCTATCGATAATGCTGCGATAAATTTAAAGGCAAGAGAGAATGCAAATATGATTAAATAAATAAAACGAGCAATTATTTGGCCACTTGCAAATGTCATAAAAGGTTGTGTGCCAAGCTGGGAGACGATCATAAGCCTTCGTCACCAGAAGCTTACCGCCCAGTTCGGCCATTTGCCTTCCGGCATATTCTTCATCCACAAAGACACAATTTCAAAAATGCCATTTCCTGATATTTCTTGCATGTTCATGAGGTAGAAGTTGAAAGGGAAATCTGCTTCTTGAATGAAAGGTGTCCCATAATACATCATGGTTCTCTCAACGTCATCATGGTCATTTGCCTCTGTGCCCATAAATCTTGAAAAGAGGACAACATCTGTTTGCCCGTGGTTTTCAGAAGTGGCATTCATTTGATATAACAAAACAGAAAATGGAAAACCCGCCACAGGACTTGATAGCAGAACACTGGGCTCTGATTCTCTTTGAATCCCAATAATGATTTATATTTTACATTGCAAAGTTCTTACAAAGCACTGTAACAATTACTGGACTGAATCCAGACTCAGCATGAACAGAGTTATGCTTGTGGTATGTTCTCACAGGTAGAAGGAGAGGGAGAGTTCCCTTGAAAAGCAGCTTTAGGGAGTTGGTGGACCATCCATAACAGTTTAAAAACCGTTTACCTTTTTTTTTTTTACCATAACAGTAAGGGGGACTGCAGGAGGAAAGGGGAAAAATTGCCTTCCCACTGTCCTTCCTCCAGCAGGAACCTCTGCTGGACTGGAGTCCCTCTAGTGGTTTAGCTAGATCATTTAAGACTCTGGACTTGTTGGTCTTATGGGAGCTCCTCTCCTCAGATAGCAGTGTGTATTATTTCACTTACTTCTAAATGTGGTAAGCCAACTGCATTTGAGGGAGCGCTGTTGTGGGGCCATAGATGTCTGCCCCAAGTCCTGACCCTGATGGTACCATTGTTGGGATCTAGTGAATCACATCCAGCGCTTTCCCCCAGGGGGCACTCAAGGGTACGCAGTACCGGCACACCTCCTTTTTTTGGTTAAAAAGTGTGACACTTACATGCTCAACAACTTTGACCTGCACTCCCCAAAAAGGTTAACAGTTTAGACTTTCCTCCCTAAAAAAAGCTCAAGAACTCTGACCTGCCCCCCTATGGGTAGATCACTTCTAGTTTTTTATTCTGTGAGTAGATCACAGTCTCTTGGGAGTTGGACGTCCCTGTTTTAGGCTAATGCGATACTTATCATTATCAAGTCCAGTGATGAAGGACCAGTTGCAACTGGACACTGAACTGTAATGATAAATCATTAAAACATGTGATTGCACACTTACTTGAATATACATTGACAGTACAACTGGCTGATCATTCACCTATATCAGGTTTTGGCTAACCTTTGGCCCACCAGATGTTGTCACACTCTCCCTTGGGCCCCATCCTCCTCCCTGTTGAGTTCCGCAAAGGCAGCACTGAGACCAGGACCCCATCCGAACTGCACATTTAAAGCAGTATCATATCTCTTTCAACTGTCATGGCTTCTCCCAAAGAATCCTGGGGGCTGTAGTTTGCTAAGGGTGCAAGGGTATTGTTAGAAGGCACCTATTCGCCTCACAGCTAAAGTTCCCCATGGTTTAACAGTCAACCCCTCTTTCCAGGGAACTCTGGGAACTGTAATTCTCCGAGGGGAATACAGGACTCCTAACGACACTCAGCACCCTAAACAGGCAACACATCCCAGGATTCTTTGGGGGGAAGCCATGGCTGTTTAAAGTGGTGAGTGCGGATGGGGCCCGAGGAGAAGGAAGCTGGGCAGCCAGCACCACCCGCTGGACTGGATGTAAGAAGGCAGGTAGTTGGGGGCTGGCTGAGAGCAGGCTGGGTTTGGTGGGGCAGTGCCCCATTTGCCCTAAAAGGCCAGACTTGACTGGCAGGCCATGACATAACTAATAGGGCCTCCCCTGAAAATTGTAGTCATGGGTAGGCAAGCTAAGGCCCAGGGGCCAGATCCGGCCCAATCGCCTTCTAAATCTGGCCCGGGCGGTCTGGGAATCAGCGTGTTTTTACATGAGTAGAATGTGTGCTTTTATTTAAAATGCATCTCTGGGTTATTTGTGGGGCATAGGAATTCGTTCATTATTTTTCTTCAAAATATAGTCCGGCCCACCCCACAAGGTCTGAGGGACAGTGGACCGGCCTCCTGCTGAAAAAGTTTGCTGACCCCTGACCTTAGTGGATTGCCAGGTCTATATGAGAGAAGGCATCCTTGCAGATGGTTCCAGTGAGTTCCTGGGATGGGATGGGGACATTCACTCTTACCTGCTAACGTTTTCAGACTGCTTCCTAGGAAAAAGGAGCAACTTTTACCATCATAAGAAAAGGATAGGAAATGAAGACATCATGGTATTGTTACCTGTATCGTCCAGGCTCACTGCTGAACTTATCCATGGTGTGCCGAAAACTGCGGACAATATCATGCATGCCAACCTGGGTGGTGGTGTAGTCGTGATACAGCTCAGAATAGGCTGTGATAGTGTCCTTGAAGAGCAATAGGATATTTGTCATTACTCCTCTTCCTAACTTTCTAGGCCCTTCCAGAGAGAGACATCTGAGACAATGGCTGCAATCCAGAAGGTGTCCTTTATAATACCACAACACTTCTTCCCGCTCCCTCCCTCAAGTTATAAAAGAACTGCGGTTTGGGTGCCTCTTCTTTTTTTTTAAAAAAAAAGGGGGGGACCTAGAATGTTGAAATGGATAAATCAGTCTATTTCTGGCCTGCACTGTTTTCACCACCACTCACTCATAAATCCATTCCGTTCAATTTCTGCATTAATTTGCAAATTTGTAATAAAAAAGCCTTGTGGAAACAAATCTCTCCTTTTAAATACATATTTAGATTTTGTTTTCTATTTAAAAATACATTTCTAAATGCATTATCTCCCAATACATTTTAACGTTTAATATAAGAGCTGCATCAGAACATTCAGGAAGTCCAAAGACCAATGGATGACCAAGTTCTGATCCACACGTTGGCCCAGGAAGTGCTTACCAGGTCAGTTCCTACTGCAATTCACAATATTTAAAACTACCTTTTATTTTCGTACATTTATATCCCACCTTTCTTAGATCATGGAACCACAGGTGCCATATATATATATGGTTGATAGGAGGTCATGAATGTCTAGCTAGAATTGAGTCCTATAACTTTCCAAAAGTCTTGGAGGCAATGCCCAAGAACCTCTGAAGCCAAATAATACCACTGGTCCATCTCTTCCAGTCCCAGCTGTAGCCTTCCAAGGTCTCTGGCAGAGGCCATATGGACATAGGAAGAGCCTTGCTGGATCTGAGCAAAGGTCCATCCAGTTCAGCATTCTAACAATGGCAAGCAGGTGCCTCTAGCAACCATAAGAAGGATGTGAACCCAACAGCTGACCCCCCCCCCCGCCCCGTTTGTCCACAACACATGGTGTTCAGAGGCTCCTTGCCTCTGAGAATATAAACTGCCTCTGAGCCTATTCAGCTAGGACAGCTCACTAACAAAATGTAAGGAACCCTTATCGGTCCTAAGTCCTTCACGGCCTAGGACCCTCATACCTACGGGACTGCCTCTCCCGGTATGCCCCAGGGAGGACCTTAAGGTCTATAAATCGCAACACCCTAGCGGTCCCGGGCCCTAAGGAAGTCAGATTAGCCTCAACCAGAGCCAGGGCCTTTTCAACTCTGGCTCCGGCCTGGTGGAACGCTCTGCCTCATGAGACCAGGGCCCTGCAGGATCTGATTTCTTTCCGCAGGGCCTGTAAGACAGAGTTGTTCCTTTGGCTTGGAATCAATTTGATTCCCTCCCCCTCTTTCTTTTTTCCTTTCTCCTCCTGTGAAGAGGCTGCATTTTAATGTTTTAATGCTGTATTTTAATCTTGTTTTTTAAGTTGTATTTCAATCAACTTGTTTTTATTATAGGTTGTTACGCGCCCTGAGCCCGGTCTTGGCTTGGGAGGACGGGGTATAAATAAAATTTATTATTATTAGTAGTAGTAGTAGTAGTAGTATGTGTGTACTCTTGTGATAAACTGAAATTGCAGAGTTTTGAAAAACTAAAAAATAAAGTGCGAGACTGGCTTCATTTTTATCAAATAATGGAGGTATTCAATGTGGACAAGAAAATTGGCTTCCAGGTGGAAAAATCAAAATTGGAAACAGAACTGTTAGACCCCAAAACTAAGATTCTGTCAAGAATGTATAACTTGCTGTTGAAATGGAATACTCAGGATGAAACAGTGAAATCTGCTATGATTAAATGGGCACAAGATGTTGGACATAATATTATGATGGCTGACTGGAAACAGTTATGGACCACCGGTATGAAGTTCACGGCATGTAATGCCTTAAGAGAGAATATTATGAAAATGATATACAGGTGGTACATGACACCAGTCAAGCTTGCAAAAATCTATCATTTGCCCGATAATAAGTGTTGGAAATGTAAGGAAACTGAAGGTACATTCTTTCACCTTTGGTGGACGTGCCCAAGGATTAAGGCTTTCTGGGAGATGATATATAATGAAATGAAAAAGGTATTTAAATATACCTTCCTGAAGAAACCAGAGGCTTTTCTCCTGGGCATTGTCGGCCAATTGGTGCCAAAGAAGGATAGAACTTTCTTTATTTATGCTACAACAGCAGCGAGAATACTTATTGCAAAGTATTGGAAGACACAAGATTTACCCACACTGGAAGAATGGCAGATGAAGGTGATGGACTATATGGAACTGGCGGAGATGACTGGCAGAATCCGAGACCAGGGAGAAGAGTTGGTGGAAGAAGATTGGAAGAATTTTAAAGACTATTTACAGAAATATTGCAAAATTAATGAATGTTAGAATGATGTTGGAATGAAGTTAAGTGGTTTTAGCAGTAATGTTATTAAGGTTTATGTAAAAATGGATTGTTAATAGATGGGAATTTGAAGTAAAAATATACTAAGAAAAAGGGTTAGGATAAGAACAAAGAAGGAAAGGATTTGCTGAATTAATTAATTGATTTGGGATGCAAAAAAGGGAGGTGTGAGGAGGTCTGGGAAACAAGTGAACGAAAGTTAAGATATGGAAATACTGATTTGTTTTTAATTGTTATTTTATTTTTTCTGATTTTTGTATCTTATTTTTTCTTTTTGGTGTGTGTGTGGGGGGTTTTTGTATTACTGTAAAACTTTAATAAATATTATTATAAAAAAATATATGTGTGTGTACTCTTGTAAGAGGACAAAGGAGAAAAATTGTTACCGGATTTTGGGATTTATTGACTTGAGGCTCATCTCTCAGATGCGTTGCTTCCAGCAGGAATTTGACCGTACTAATGCTAAATCCATCGACGCCTTTGCCGAGCCAAAATCTGATAACCTCCTAAACGGATAGAAGAGGCAGAATTGTTTTGTGTTGTGTCAGAAATCACAGCAAATACAGTTCATATATTTTGAGTTTCGTAAAAGAAATGTAGATTGGCTTAAAGCTCTGTCAACAAGAGGTGTGGGGAACTTTTGGCCCTGCAGATGTTACAGAGCTACAGCTGCCATCATCCCTGGCCTTTAGCCACGCTTCCTGGAGCTTGTGGGATCTACAGCAGGGGCTCCCAAACTGTGGTCTGCAGACCATTCGTGGTTCACAAGGTTCACTCAGGTGGTCCATGGAGTGTCTGTACAAGTACAGGGAGGGAGGGGCCGCTTGGAGAGAGTTGCAGTGGAAAGTAAAGACCTTTCTGCTTCTTCTCCATGCTAATTATTCACTACAAATCTCCCACTCCTGGAGCTGTTTTTTCATAAAAGCAGCCTCTTAGCTCTTAAGACATGGCTGCACGCCACATTTACTTTAGCCCTTATTATGGGCACTCAATAGAGGAAGTTTACTGCCTTATGATAATCATGTGTGATTATAGAAGTTGCAGTCTTATGATGAGATTTTCTGCATGGAACAGGGGAGTGGACTTACCTAAAACAGACATAGATCTGGACAGAAGGAGTTTGATTCAGAGAAGTTGAAATCAGGACAGGAAGTTAGTCATGACTAACCATGATTCCAATGGGAGCTAAGTGCAACTAGCACCCTCTGGATTGTACTCAAGGTCAGTTTGGAAACAACAGAGTGATTTTGAAATAAAGGACTTGAGAGCACTTCCATAGTGTTTCAGTATAATTATTCAACCTAGAGCCCTTCAAAAATTGTTAGAAGAGCTGGCTATTAAAAAATAATAATAAAGCAATGATATCAACAGGATTTTTAAACATGCTCATTATTCCCCATTATATTATATATTAGCAAAACAGGTAGCATCAACAAATCATATTGTGTGATCCAAAGGCCATGTGCATGCCATCATGATCGGAATGCAATTGATTACTTACATGAATTTCTTCTTCAACATCTGGGTTACGGAAATTTAAATCCGGCTGCTCTTTTCCAAACTGGTGGAAGTAACACTGGTTTCTCACTTCGTCGTACTGCCAACTGGAGTTCCCCAACACACTCACCTGATTGCATAAGGAACACAATATCTTTTTAAAAATCAGACTATTTAGAATCATTGTTGTTATAATTAAGGATGCGCATTAAAGTCAGCCGAGGCCCAAATCTCAAATCAGGCCTAACTGGTGGGATCTGGGGCTCGTTCAAGGAAAGTAAAGATAGCCCCGGATAGCTACTGCCATCCAGGGTTGCCAGAGATTCAGCACCCCCGCCTCTCTCGCTCCATTCTACAGTGTTATTGTGGTACCAGCTGCAGCTCGGCACTCCCTGTGACCCTCAAACCGCCTCTGCTCTCCTCTCTTCTTCTTCTGTATGTTAAAAATATGTGCTAGAAGTGTGTGAGCCACTGTGAGTGCCATTCATGGAAGAAAGGTGGCATACAGGCATTTCAATAAATAATGCATGCAAATAATCAAATTAATAATAATAATAAAATAATAAAATTTTATTTCTATCCTGCCCACCCCAGCTGAAGCCGGGCTCAGAGTGGCCAACAACAATAAAGGCAACACAGTTCACATAAAATAACAATCAATCAACTGAAATGCATTCTAAAATCAATTCGAAATCAAATTAATGGCAACCATTGGGAAATAGTGTTTATTTGGGGGGGGGGAGTCAAGAACTCAGAATGGGGCTGCCACCTTGTCTTATGCGCGACTTTTTCTGGTTTGCACCTTTATCATAAAAGTTGACAATTAAATAGTTGCCTAAAGGGGCAGCGTCCAAAATGGGCAACAGGAAAGCACAGTGGTCTGGTCTAATTTCATTTATATATAAGCCAATGAAACTAAAAAACCAAATGTGCAAAACAGTTGGGTCCTAGCTCAGTTGAAGAGCACCTGCTCTTCATGTCGAAGGCTCCAGCTTCAATCCCTAGCATCTCCTGATGGGGCTGGGGGAGATCCTTGTCTGAAGTGCTAGAGACCCACTGCCAGTCAGTGTAGACCAGGGGTAGCCAATACAGGTGGGGGTTGCAGTCCAGCAATGTCTGGAAGCAGGCATGTTGCCTATGCTCCGACTCAGACAAAGCCACTTCCTATGTTTGTTTGTTTGTTGTTGGTTGGTTGGTTGGTTGGTTGGTTGAATTTAATTTTTGTTTTTAATTTTTAATTTTATTTTGACAAAGTAATCATCATAAATAAATAAGGGTAAAAATGTGCACCCCACTACCGAGACCATGCCATTGTAACTTTCCAACCTCCCAAAATTTCAACACTTCGTGCGATGGTTTGACCCCTTTCCATTTTAACAGTACAAATTCTACAAACACCCTCCATATCTCCTCAAAATAATTTCTCCTGCATATTCCCCATCTTACCCTAATGGCACATGTTAATTTATTATTAATAGCTATATCCCGCACCTCTTTATACCATTCTTCCATTTTATATTCTGCTTGCCCCTTCCACTTCCTAGCTATAATAATGTGTGCAGCTGTCAATAAATTTGTGAGCAAGTCCTTCATCGCCTGCGAACCTTCCACCCCATCATAAATTGATAATAATGCTACCTCTGGGCTTTTGGTCAGCTTTAAACCGGAGATTTCTGTTATCTCCTTAAACACCCTTCCCCGCCCCTCAAATGTAAGTATTTACACCTCCTGGCATCCCCTCCAACATAACACCAAATATTCCTTGTTAGCTTCCTATGTTTGTAAAGCTCATTTTACAAAGTGCAAACACACTACAGGGCAAAATGTTTAAAATAAAATTACTTCTCAATACAGATTTGTTTGCCGAAATTGCAATTTGTGCTGGCCTGAACATGGGGCATGTTACAGCAAAACAGGGCAGTGTTTTCTGAAACTGTCCTCTGCAGCCGTTTCCCAAACTGCTCCAGCCTCAGATTAAAATGTGGGAAATGAGAGCAGAGTTTTCATCCTAGTGAAACCAGTGTCTGACATCTTTGCATTACAGAAACAGAAAAGAGTGATCTAACAATGAACTGGTTTGTTTGATTCTGATGTCATGTTTGGCAGGGGGAAGAGACAGCTGTGATGAGGAGGCTCCTAGGCTGGCGTGCCCACTGGAACAAGGGGTATGTCACAACGAACTAGCCATGCGAAATGTGCCGCTTCCTGCCAACAGGTTTCTACAGAGAGCGGCCGAAAGTAAGCCAGAAAAGCAGACTCGAAAAAGAATTAAGATCAAACGAAGCAGAAAACAAGCAACAGCAGCTAATGGTTCAACAACCAAATCACTTATGTGACACATGTGTGCTTAGGAGGGCAAAATATCTCATAAGAAGCTGAATTGTTTGTTTGGAAATGCTTGCAGTTTAATAACATCACAACGCTTACAATGCTATTACTGATTAACAGGTTGATCCTAAATGTCTTTAGTCAGAATTCACTCCCTTTGACTTATTCCCGAGTAAGTGCACACAGGACTAAACTCTTAATTGATAGAGCATTCTATTGGAGTCAGTGGACTTTTGTTCCCAGCCAATGTTTTCGGGAACAAAGTATTCTGTAATCATGTGATTTCACAATTCAAGTTGTGTGTGTGTGTGTGTGTGTGTGTGTGTGTGTGTGTGTTCTCATTTTGAACTGAAGTTGCTATTACAGTAACAGTGCTTAGCAAATTATATATATTATGTCTCTATATATTATACATATGTTAATAGCAGTCCTAATGAAATCAGGCTACATAAGAGGAGATGACCTGCTACAGCCAGACATACAGTGGTACCTCTGGTTACATACACTTCAGGTTACATACGCCTCAGGTTACAGACTCTGCTAACCCAGAAATAGTGCTTCAGGTTAAGAACTTTGCTTCAGGATGAGAACAGAAATCGTGCTCCGGCAGCGTGGCAGCAGAAGGAGGCCCCATTAGCTAAAGTGGTGCTTCAGGTTAAGAACAGTTTCAGGTTAAGTACGGACCTCCGGAATGAATTAAGTACTTAACCTGAGGTACCACTGTACCTTAAATGTGAATGGCATTTACTGGGAAAGCTGAGCTGCCGTGATCAAAGCAGAGGTTGTTTGCAAGAGCAAGGAGGCTGTCTATCATTGAGGGAAAAAGGGAGACCAATACTATTTCATAAGGGGAGCCTGCTAGGTCAGGCAAGGGCCCATCCCATCTAGCATCCTCTTTCCCCAGGGGCCACCCAGATGCTGCAATCAGGCCCTGAGCGCAAGAGCACCCTCTCCTCTTGCGGTTTCTAACTGGTATTCAGAAGCATATCGCCTCTCATTGTTATACCTTATAACGGGTGGAGAACCTCAGGCTCAGGAACCAAATACAGCTCACCAGGCCTCTCTGTTTGGTCACTGTTTGAACCACATGGTGTGAGGCTTATGCCTACATTGCTGCATGTTTTGTTTGTTTATTTTTGTGCTACCGGAGTTCTGTACTCACCCAGTTATTTGGTGGTTTGGTGGTCCCATTGGTATACGTGCAGTTATGCCAGATGTAATAATCCGCGTATTTTTCAGTCCGATTGCGACTAAGCTGAAACCAGTTGTGCTTGTCACTTGTGTGGTTAGGTATTAGATCCATTATCACTTTCAAACCTTGCGCAAGAGGATGCAAAAAACAGCCTGTCAAACTGCAGACACCTGCATTGTTCCTAGAAGAGAACTAAGTCTTTGGCTTTGATTGGACAGGTGCACAATAGCAGATGGGGGATAATCTTGCTTGTTTACTGTAAAGGCTTATTGCAAAGATTACTGAGCAGAACCATGTGAAGCACTGGGACCATGTTGGGGGAAATTGTTACCAAAAATTGCTAAAAGGGCTTGTGAAGATCCTGCCCCGAAGACCAATGGAGTTAATTAGCATCTAATAAAAACTACTAAGCATTTCACAAAACCAAGTAAAACATAGCTTGGACCCAGTAAACTACAGAATGGATCTTCCTCACTCCCTGTTGGATGAGCAGCAGCAGAGATCATTCCAGATGCAACTTAATGGCTAATTCTGTTATCAGTAAGTTAGCTAACCAAGTGGGATGTATCATCATTCATTCATTGCATTTCATTCATTCATTGCATTGCATTTCTATACGGTTTTATAATTTTAAGGAAAAAAATATCAAAGCACACAAAAACCACAAATGAAACAATCCAGAATAAAACATAGAGCAAAGCCAACCTTTATCGTGTATCGCTGCAATCAGGTTTTCAAAATCCTTCATGGTTCCAAACATTGGGTCTATGTCTCGAAAGTCTTCTATGCCATATCCCAAATCTTGTAAGGCAGACTTGTAAACAGATGTGATCCAGATTGTTTTTACATTTAGATACTGGATGTGATCCAGCCTTTCTTGGATACCTAGGTAGGGAAAATAAAGGGGAAGGAACAAACTGCCGTAACAACCAGTGGGGTTAGCTGGTTCAAATTCTTGATGGTTTGCAAAGTTCACTCCTTCTGCATCTTACAGGATAGTTATGAGGACCAAATGAGTTGTGGAGGGACGGGGACACTTACACTACCCCAAGCTCCTTGAATAAAAGGTGGGTTAATAACTAACAACAACTAATGCTGTACTGCAGAACATTGCTCCTGCCTTGTGTTTGAACCAGCCAACCTGTTAGGATCTCTTCCAGGATATTCCATTCCATCCATCTGATTTTGGCCAGTTCCCCCACTCCTTTAGCAAGCAGCTCCCTATGTTCAGTTCCATCCCATTCTGGAAGATCTCCCAGACCTCTGAAGCAGCTTTTGGAGACCACAGAGAGCAGTGATGGAAAGGAGGAGGCAGGAAAGTCTGCTTAAGTAAACTTCCTTCTATTCTTGGTTCACATGATCCAGAATCCAATATCAATAACATAGGGTAAGGTTTGGAACTGCTGTTGTTCCTAACTTGTTCAAGTGTTATAACGCATGAGAGATACTTCTAGGAAGCCTCTCCTTAGTCTTGGAGTGGGCCATCTTTGGGTATGGTCTGAAGGCAAGTGAGGTCACCACCTTGTTGAAGCTAAGCAGGTCTGGCTCTGGATAGTGTCTGGATGGGTGACCACCAGGGAACCCCTTGTAGACCACTGGGGTTCCATGGTGGAAGAAAGGCAGGATGTTGCAAGCAAATAAATAAAATCCAATGTTTGGCTTGCCAGCCCCAGAGACAGAAGGAGCAAGATGGATTAGCATCACCAGTAGCCATGGGACTTGGCAGCAGGATTTTTGGGGAAGGATGAGGGGGTGTGGAATGTCCTCCCATTTAGAATTAACTAAACGCTGACCAAGGGGGTCCAAGTCTCCATGGCAGAATAATTAATTCCTAAGAAGCTTTGGTGTTGTCTGAGAATAGCTACAGTATCCCTTTTTTTCTTCATTAGGAATGTAGGGTATTTAAAAACAACAACCCCCAAACCACCCTTCTAGATCTTTTAATTTCATGAAACATTAACTGGAAAGATTTCGAAGACACAAGACTACAGTAGTACCTCTAGTTACGAACTTGAACTCGTTCTGGAGGTCTGTTCTTAACCTTAAACTGTTCTTAACCTGAGGTACCACTTTAGCTAATGGGGCCTCTTGCTGCCGCTGTGCCACCAGCACACGATTTCCGTTCTCATCCTGGGGCAAAGTTCTCAACTTGAGGTAACTCTTCCAGGTTAGCAGAGTTTGTAACCTGAAGTGTTTGTAACCTGAGGCGTTTGTAAGTCGAGGTACCACTGTATAAGAATAATTTCAGGGCCAAAGTCCAACTTTCTATTTTCTGTTAGGTAAACTGCCTTTTGCCTTTGCCTTCACTATGACTGTTATTCTTCTTCCAGTTCCCAAACCTCTCTTTATCTTCACCTTAATCAGGGCTGCTACACATTCTTCAGACACAAACAGTTGCCTAGTAGCTTTGGGGTCATCTGACATTGCATTCCAGAAAAGGACAAGCAGTGAGCTCTTACCTTATATTTCTTACCGAATATTTTTGAGTGTTTATTCAAAATATGCAACTCCCACTTTTGCAAAATGCAGCCGACAGCAGCAAGGCTAATGCTGCTAGCCAGAAACAGAACGTCCCGTAATGATCTATTTCTCTTTCAAATAAGCCAGTTTTGATTTAACACCAAAATGAACAGAAAGGAGGTGCCAAGAAAAGGCTCATTAGCTACTTGGGCTTCATACACACCACATATTCGAAGCACATTTAAAGCACCTTCCCCCCACAAATAATCATGGGAACTGTAGTTTACCTATGGCAGAACTACAATTCCCAACACCCTTAACTACAGTTCCCAGGATTCTTGGGAGCGGGGAGATGTGCTTTAATGTATGGTATGAACACCACACAGCCCTCTGAAAGTGGAGGACCCTGGAAGTCTACTTGCAATTCATGCCCTCAGTAAAAAGGCAGGGCTATACAGGGCTGGAGGAGACTCTGGAGAGTCCCATGGACTGCAAAAAGGTCAAACCTCTCCATTCTGAAGGAAATCAGCCCTGAGTGCTCACTGGAAGGACAGATCCTGAAGCTGAGGCTCCAATACTTTGGCCACCTCATGAGAAGAGAAGACTCCCTGGAAAAGACCCTGATGTTGGGAAAGATTGAGGGCACAAGGAGAAGGGGATGACAGAGGATGAGATGGTTGGATAGTGTTTTTGAAGCTACCATCATGAGTTTGACCAAACTGTGGCAGTGAAAATCAGGAGTGCCTGGCGTGCTCTGGTCCGTGGGGTCACGAAGAGTTGGACATGACTAAACAACAACAACATACAGAGGAAGCCTTAAGGCAGCCCTTTGTACCTTGGTCTTTGGGGTTTGGAGGATTAACATTATGTATCTTGGGGGAAATGAATAAGCATTACCAGCCCACAAACATTATCACAAGCTGGGCTTTCCCCAGGAGGCTTATCTAGCCATAGCTCAGTGGCAGAAAACATTGTTTTTTGGGCAAAAGGTCCCAGTTTCAATCCAGGATATCTTCCCAATTGGAGGACTTGCACTGCAGAGCCACTGCCTATCTGATATGGAGCTAGATGGACTAACTGACCAGTTAGTCTATCTAGCTTCATATAAGACAGGCAGGCAGGCAGTGGCTATACAGTGGTACCTCAGATTACATACGCTTCAGGTTACATACACTTCAGGTTAGACTCCGCTAACCCAGAAATAGTGCTTCAGGTTAAGAACTTTGCTTCAGGATGAGAACAGAAATCGTGCTCCGGCGACATGGCAGCAGCTGGAGGCCCCATTAGCTAAAGTGGTGCTTCAGGTTAAGAACAGTTTCAGGTAAAGTATGGACCTCCGGAACGAATTAAGTACTTAACCCGAGGTACCACTGTATTTTTAAGAGGTGCACTGATGGTCTCTAGCAGCATTGTGAGGAGAGAGGAGAGAGAGAAAAAGTTGCCTTCAAAATTACAAACACTTTCATCCCTTATTCCCTAAACATTATTTTTTACACATGTGCATCTATGCTTTTTAAACTTACCTGTCCTCCCTTTACTCAGTGGCATTTCCCAGCCAGCATTGGCTATATGAAGAACCTCAAGGGCTTGCGTTGGGGTTGGGGGTTGGGTATGTGTTTGTGTGGATAAATAAATCCTGCAACACGAATGCAGGAAAATCCACAGTGAAGGATGCTCGCTGCAGTGGACCAAACCCATTTCTGCCAGGCTTTCCCCGAGGACAAATCTATTTTGCACTCTCAGCTTTTCCTCATCTCCTGACCTGGGACCCCAGAAGTAGCAGGGGTGCTTTTTAGTAACGTGGTCTGTCTGTATGTCTTGCCTACTTGCTTTCCCAGCAGAAACCGTGCTAGCACACCTAGCGCTCTGCTCACAAGGTGCGTGTTAATTTTCCTGCAAACCTTCCCCCCCCAAGCTAGACTGCCCCCTTCAGGTGTGGTGGGGGATGCAGCCCCACTGCCAACAGTCACATCTCTTGCCACTTTACAATTAAAGCACTCACAACCATTTCAACAGCCATGGTTTCCCTCAAAGAATACTGGGAACTGTGTTTTTTTTGAGGGTGCTGGGAATGGTAGCACAGCCAGGAATCACATAACAACTATCAGCACCCTTAACGACAGTTCTCAGGGTACTTTGCAAGAAACCATGACTGTTAAAGTGGCGTAAGAATGTTTTTAAAAGGTCTGGTGTGAAAGTGACTTAATGTTGAAGTTATGATTGAACATTCCACCTGATTTCCTTTCCTGCAAGGTCCCTTATTTTATAACTTCCTTGTCTCATAGATTGGGACATATGTCCACAATTTTAGGCAATAAAGCTTCAAGATACATTTTATTTTTTTTAAAAAAATATTCTGGGTCAGGAAAACTCATTCTCCATTACTTTGACTAGAACAGAAAAGGCTAAGATATAGAACATTGTAAACAACTAAAAACTTTGGCAGGATTTGAGTAACGCCTGTAATGTACTAAAAACTAAGGTAAAAACGGATTACTGAAAGAAAAACAGAGAAATTATGTGATGTGGTAGGAAATGTTTGATAACGGAAACCATGGGGGGGGAGTCTAAGAATTCAGAGAATCCTAAATGAGGATGATTAGGATTAATGCTTTAATACAAATGTAGAATGTAAAACTGAATAAAAAAGATTTTTTAAAAAAAAGGGGAGGAAGGAAAAGGCTAAGATATATTTTTACAGCCTGTGAGACCACCATCTTGCCGACTCAGCTGTCTGGGAACCATGATGGAAGAAAGGCAGGATAGAAATAATAATAATAATGATGATAATAATAATAATAATAATAATAATAATAATAATAATAATAATATCTTTATTGTCATTGCCCCCTCTCGGGGACAACGAAATTACTTGGCTGCTCCATCCACCCAGGTAGGGCACTCCACACAAAATCAAAACAACTATAAAAACACTATGCAAGTAAACAGAAGATAAAATAAGTCCGACACACCTACCTTTGAGATCGCCATTCCCATCGCTGTCAGTGTCCTTAAACGACCGAGGGTAAATTTGGTAGATGGGGCTGGCTTGCCACCAGCCAAGGCATTTGGGGGACAGGGCAATAATGGCAATCGTAGCTGCCACAAGCACCAGCGAGGATGCAATGATCAACCAGAAGAGTATTTCTCTGGTAATTTTATAGCGTGCTTGAGATGAGAACTGGAGGAGCACTTCTTTGGGCATCCCCGCGTAAGGCCTCACTGGTAACTTTTCCGCTGTTTCAGACTCTATGAAAAGAGTACATGTTTTTGGCAACCCATCTTGGCTTGTGGCATCAGCCTCTTTTTCCTCCAGCTCCTCGCTTTGAACAAACCCGTTGTTCTCGATGCCTTCATTCTGGCCCAGCTCGAGAGAGATGGCCCGGTCTTCTTTGCCAACCATTTCTCCTCAGTCCGTTCTCACCCCTCTCAGAAGACTCGGTGCAGTTGGAAGAAGGTGGGGCAGGTGGCGGGGGGTGGAAGAGAGGAAAAACCTTTGGTCGGTGGAACGAGGAAGCGTCATTAATCCCTGGTTTAAAAATAAACCTGAGAGACCAGTCCAAAGTCTGACCCAGATTAAGAGCATTAAGGGCTTCCACTCCTCTGCACAAAAGACTTTTCTTCGCGACGGGGCAAAATGTTGCAAGAGAACAAAGCTCCAGCTCATGCCAACCTGACTTCAAAAGAAAATAGCCTAGCATTTCAGGAATGGAGGTACTTGAAGGCGGCCACTTCTGGGCAAGGCTGGTGTGCATTTAACACTTGCATGCCAGGCAGCCGTTCCACAACAAGCAAGGCCTCTGCCCATTGAGTCACCATGCTGGAAATGCTGCATCTGTTGAATACCTGCTGTTGGCATTCCCTGGGTGGGAGAAGAAATTCATTGCCCAGAAGTCGGGAATGTGGGCAAACTATAACTTTTCTCTCTCGTTCACTCAAATCTAACCACTCTCGTCAGAGTGGTGCATGGTCTGGTTATCTCCCGCTTGGACTACTGCAGTGCGCTCTGTGTGGGGCTACCTTTGAAGGTGACCCAGAAACTACAACTAACTTCCCGGGAAGTAAGGTGTATGAAAATAAGACTATGAAATTATACATGTTTATATGTTTGTATGTTTTTGTTTTGTGTATGGTTTGTTTTTATTATGTGTTTGGAAAATCAATAAAAATTTATTAAAAAAGAAAAAAGAAACTACAACTAATCCAGAATGCAGCAGCTAGACTGGTGACTGGGAGCGGCTGCCGAGACGACATAACACCAGTCCTGAAAGAACTACATTGGCTCCCAGTACGTTTCTGAGCACAGTTCAGAGTGTTGGTGCTGACCTTTAAAGCCCTAAATGGCCTCGGCCCAGTATACCTGAAGGAGCGTCTCCACCCCCATCGTTCTGCCTGGACACTGAGGTCCAGCACTGAGGGCCTTCTGGCGGTTCCCTCGCTGCGAAAAGCCAAGTTACAGGGAACCACACAGAGGGCCTTCTCAGTAGTGGCACCTGCCCTGTGGAACGCGCTCCCACCAGATGTCAAATAGAAAAACAACTACCAAACTTTTAGAAGACATCTGAAGGCAGCTCTGTTTAGGGAAGTTTTTAATGTTTGATGTTACATCACATTTTTAATATTCTGTTGGGAGCCGCCCAGAGTAGCTGGGGAAACGCAGCCAGATGGGAGGAGTATAAATGAATCATCATCATCATCATCATCATCATCATCATCATCATCATCTTCCTTCCATTGCTTTCTACATCGTATTTCTTCTTGTCAGGGTCATAGCCACATTCCAGTTCCCTAAGTTTGTAACTTTAAAAAATTAAGTTTTTAGCCCTTTTTATTTGTGGAGTTATAAGGAAAGTTATGCAGGCAGTATTTGGCTCAAAACAAGCAGGAGGGGAGCGTGTTCTTGTGCTTTTGAGTTTTCCACAGGCATTGGGTTGTCCACTCTGTGAACGGGGTGCTGGACCAGTTGGGCCGCAAGCTGATCCAGCAGGTGTGGGTTTTTTTTAAAAATATTTTTTATTAGGAATTTCAACATAGCAATTTATCAAAAATACATCATCCTCAATTCCCCCCCCATTTCCCCCTCCCCCCTCCCCAAAAAAGAAAAAAACACCCACACTTCCCTCAGCTCCTCTCTCTGGTTTTTCAGCACATGTTATTCTCTGCATATTATAAAATTGTAAAGATCCTTAATTTATCTATATATATATTACCAATAAGAAGTTTCTGTATATTTATTCAAAGCCTTCCAAGGAGTCCAGTTCATTTTGTTGTTTCTTTAAGTACTTTGTAAAAGGTTCCCATTCTTCTTTAGAGTCACAGTTGTCCTTATCACGTAGTTTGTGTGTCATTTTTGCCAATTCCGCATAGTCCATCAGTTTCTCTTGCCACAGTTCTTTGGTCAGGATTTCCTCGTTCTTCCATCCTTGGTTCAGCGGGTTCTTCTTATAGCCTTATGTTCTTAGACATGTGAGTTTGGCAGCAGGGTGAGGAGGCCACGGCACCCTAACTCTGCCTCTCCCTTCCTTGATCTACAGAAAACTCAAGCCCTCAATAAATTAAGCCAGCAATCCGCAAAAACAATTGTGCAGATAGAATGCCAGCAGCAGTGGGGGTTTGGGGGTGGCTTTCCACTTGAGTTTTGCACTGTCTGTCGCATGTACAAAATGTGACCTGCCAGTTGGGCAGAAGTTGTGGGTGTGCCCAAGGCGCAAAGAGTTCCTGGCTCTCCAGGAACAAGTTTGTTCCCACAAGCGGGACCCAAGCAGAAGAGCACTCTCCCCTCCTGCTTCATCTGGGCAAAATTCTGCATGCATAACTTTCCTTATACGTAGCACCACAAAGCTAAAAATCAAAATAAAATTTCCCTGCAAGGAGTAAAGTAGCACATCAAGGAGATGGCTACAGTGAAAGCAAGCTCTCTGCTATACTAATTTATCACATGTAAGGGGGTTTTTATATGCAGAAGTGTGTTCTTTTTTCCCTTTTTTTAAAGTGCAGAATTGTTCCAAGGTTCTATTGTGCTTATTACTCAGACCGTGCAAAGGTTGTTTATGCCCTAAATGTTTTGATGGATCGGATCTTTTTCTGAATAGCAAACACGTTCCCCTGCCAATAAATGGCTGCTCACATTTGCCGGCTGCCTCCCTTTCCCCGATAACTATTCAGTGCAACTGCTACTAGAGGGGTGGCTGAATCTTGCCCTGAGGGGAGGGGAGAAGCAGCAGTAACGGCTCTTTTCTAAACAAACAGGATGTATTTTCCATTATTTCATAACAGACTTGTTTAACAAACACAGGGAACTCTGGGAATTGCGGCTGTGAATAGAATAGGGGTCTCCTAACAACGTTCAAGACGTGGATGGCGCTGTGGCATAAACCACAGAGCCTAGGCCTTGCTGATCAGAAGGTTGCAGTTCGAATCCCCGCGACTGGGTGAGCTCCCGTTGCTCGGTCCCTGCTCCTGCCAATCTAGCAGTTCAAAAGCACGTGAAAGTGCAAGTAGATAAATAGGTACCACTCCAGCATGAAGGTAAATGGTGTTTCCGTGGGCTGCTCTGGTTCGCCAGAAGTGGCTGAGTCATGCTGGCCACATGACTTGGAAGCTGTTTGCGGACAAACATCAGCTCCCTCGGCCTATACGCTCACAACCCCCAAGTCGTCTGCGACTGGACCTAACAGTCAGGGGTACCTTTACCTTTAACAACGTTCAGCACCCTGGTGGAGGGGGGACTACAGCTCCCAGAATCCTTTGGGGGAGGAGCCACAGCTGTTTAAAGCAGTATGGTGTGAATGTGGCCCAAATATTGTCACGGTTCAGTGGTAGAGAATATGCTTTCTAGGCAGTTCAACCCTTGTTATTGCCAGCTAACAGGATTGCCAACAGGTGAGGGGAAAGATGCAACTGACAGACTGCCCATCACAGTGGACCACGTTCGGGTAGATAAGCAAAAACAGCCTGACCTAGACTAAGACAGCTTCCTGCTTAGTTTGGTGAGAAAGTTAAGTAAATCTCTCCCTGTGAAATGAACGGAATTCAAGATACTGAACTTTGGCTGGATTATGATGCCAAAAGATTACCCCTAAGGCAGTTGTATGTGCTTTGTAAATGATTAAACTTTTCATCCAAAATGGGCTGGTTAATCAGAACCACTAATCCCCCTTCTGCATCCGTAGCGGTGAGCACCTCTATCTTCTCCGACATCCCTGCCATTATTCTTTCCTCTGACATGGTTAAATTACATCAGAGACTTTTCACTCTGCCTCACAAACCTCCTGCTATCAGAGACCGGCCTTTCAGCTGCAGCTGCATCAGCATTAATTGAATCAATTAATTAATTAATTTATAGCATAACAATTCAGTCAGTAGTTAGGGAAACACGCAGGTGAGAGACAGGCATTCCTTAGCCCCATGCCTGTCTACACAACACCAAAGGCTTACAGTCAAATATTTGGCAGGTTTCAGGGTTCCTCATCTCAGAATGGTCAAATCTTTTTGAGTTCAGTTTCTCAATCTTTTTTCAGTCTTGTGTGCAGTTCTCCACATTTCCACATCAGTTTCTGGCAATTGTAACACAGGGTAAGGTGCCGAGTGGTTTTTAATCCTCTTTACTGATTCTTCTATGCAGCTTTATTTTTATTTATTCACTTCCTCTCTGTGTTTTGCTCTCTTAATGCTCTCCACTTCTTTCTAGTTGTTTCTGCCCATCCCCTCCTGTCACTTCCAATCTGTCCCATTCGCCTTGTGCCATCCAGATCAACAGGTTCTCAAAACATCCAAAGTATTTGGATGTTGGGACAGTTCGGGACGGGCAAAAGCTCGCGTCTCTTCTTGCAGCACATAGTTAACCTGCGGTACTCACTGCCACAGGAGGATTAGACAAGTTCATGAAGATTAAGGCAACCAGCAGCTACGCTATACTCTACCCTCCACTGGCAGACATTATACCTCTGAACACCAGTTTTCTGGGGATCGCAAGTGGGCAGAATTCAGCTGCACTCGTGTCCTGCTTGCAGGCTGCTCAGAGCATCTGGTTGGCTGCCGTGAGAACAATATACTGGATTAAATGAACCATTGCCATGATCCAGGAGGGTTCTTATGTTCTTCGAATTCAGGAGCAGCTCCTGCTCCTGCTCTTCTTCACAGACATGCCATTGACCACCTGAGTGAAGCTCCTGGACCACAATTTGGGAAATCCTGGCATAGAGAGCACACCGGTAGACAGGAACTTTATTGTCTTATACAAGAACTGACCCAGGAAAAGCTTCTGATATAACTAAGCCCAGTGCCTAACTAGCAGACGTTGCTTGTCCGTCAGGGCAAGGTGACACAATTTGCTTCAGGCGGCAGATCTGTCCCCTTACCTGCCGTTGTGCTGTCGCCGGCGCCATGGGGGTGAAAGCAGCATTGGGGCACTTTGCCTACAAGGGCAAAACATCTCAGGATGGCCCTGCTCTCTAGTGATTAAACCATATCTAGGTTTGTGTGTTTAAAGAAGCAACAATTTAAATATATATAGCAATGTTGTAAAAGTAAAGGTACCCCTGACCGTTAGGTCCAGTTGCGGACGACTTGGGGGTTGTGTGCTCATCTCGCTCTATAGGCCGAGGGAGCTGACGTTTGTCTGCAGACAGCTTCCGGGTCATGTGGCCAGCATGACTAAGCCGCTTCTGGCGAACCAGAGCAGTGCACGGAAACGCCGTTTACCTTCCCACCACTTTGATGTGCTTTCGAACTGCTAGGTTGGCAGGAGCAGGGACCGAGCAACGGGAGCTCACCCCGTGGCGGGGATTCGAACCGCCAACCTTCTGATCAGCAAGTCGTAGGCTCTGTGGTTTAACCCACAATCGTCACTCGTTTATCTCTAAATCTCACGGGCATCCGAATAGCTCAAGCAAGTGATGCCTTGAGTGGTAACACTGTCACCTGTGTTTACAAGACGGCCTAGCATAGCCTCAGCAGATGCACTTGGGTTTTCAGGTACTACTTATGCATTTGGTTATTATACCTTCTCAGGAAAGGAAAGTTGTCATTAGTTCC